GCGCTTGGTTCCCCAGGATTTGGTGCTGCTCTGAGACTCTCTCAGCATGGCCTGGGGTGTCCTGCAGCGAGGCAAGGCTGGGGACCCTTCAGCACAGGGAGCACAAGCTGCAAAGGGGAGACATCCAGCTCAGGGAAAGCCAGCTGTGGTCAGAGCCCAGCAGGGCAGGGAGGCAGGCACGCTGTACCAGGCTCAGGTTGGCCCTTTCCACAAAAACTTGGGCAGGAAAGAGAGGGCTGGGCACTGTCCCGCAGAGCTCACAGGCACCAAGACAATGCACAGGGCCAGGGAGGGAAAAGGGCAGAAGGGTGGGACAGATGGACCATGTACAGAAGCACAGCCTGTTTGCCACTCGCTCAGGGTTTGTGAGCCCAGAGGGGTGCAGGATGGTGCTGGGGTAACCCCATCACCGAATGGCAGCAGCCACCATCCCCCTGGGTGAGCTGAGGGAGATGACAGGGACCCTCTGCCAGCTGAGCAGGGCAGGCAGCAAGGGGCCTGAGACAGGACTCTGTCACCAGAAAAGCCAAGGGGCCATTGTATGGGCAGGGTATGGGGCTCTGGGGCCCTGAGCTGTGGGGTGGGTGCTCAGCCCCCATTCACCTCCATGCACAGCCCTGGGGTGAAGGGGAACATCCCTCTGCCCCACATCCCCACTGCCCTGCATCCATGACCTGGGGTGGACACCCATGTTCCACAGGTCAGTGCAAACATCCTATGACTTAGGGACATTCCCATTGTTCCACACCCCATGGCTTGGTGGGGGACATCCCTGTTGCTTGATGTCCCAGGGTTCAGCTAAAATATCCCCACTGTCCCATGTCCCCTTTTAGGGGAATGCCATCTCTGCTCCTCCATGTCCCGCCACTCAGGGTTATGCTTCCATTGCCTCATATCCCATGCTTTGGTGGGGACACCCCTGCTGCCTGCTGTCACTGGGCTGAGTGGGGCTGTCTCAGGGGGAATACCTCCATTGCCCCCTTTTTCCCAGCTTGGTGGGTACATTCCACACCCCATTATTTGTGCAGGGACCCTACATCCCTGCTGCCCTGAGGCCCCACCTTGGCCATGGTGTGGCACAGCACGGTCCCCTGGGCGGTGTGTCAGGGCTGGTACCAGGCTGTGTCACCCTGACCCTGCTGTCCCTGTGGCCTCACCTTAGCCATGGGTGGCACAGTACGGTTTTCTGGCCTCTCAGGGCTGGTGGCAGGCTGTGTCACCCTGACCCCGCTGTCCCTATGTCTTCACCTTGGCCATGGGTGGCACAGCACAGTTCTCTGGGCTCTCAGGGCTGGTGGCAGGCTGTGTCACCCTGACCCCGCTGTCCCCATCACAGGGTGACTCCCAGGGGTGCCTCTGAGCGCTGCCATGGCCGCGGGTGTCATCCAGCCCCTGGCCGAGCTGCGGCTGCCCTCGCCCTTCCCGCACGGCCTGCTGCTGCCCACGCACCCTGAGCCCGACTTCCCCGACCTCTCCGAGGAGGAGGAGGAAGAAGAAGAAGAGGAGGAAGAAGAAGAGGAGGAAGAGGAGGAGGACGTGGAAGCAGTGGGGGAGAGCGTGAGGCCGGAGCTGGCCGGAGTCTCCAGCACTGCCGAGACCACGCTGCGTCTCCTCAAGTTCTCGGAGCTCATCAGCTGCGACATCCAGCGCTACTTCGGG